CTTGGGTTTTCTAGGTATAGAATCATATCATCAGCAAATAGGGATAGTTTGACTTCTTCCTTACCAATTTGGATGCCTTTGATTTCCCTTTCTTCTGACAGTTACTTTTTAGCCCAAAGTTTCCCTACAGCTTTGCCCGTCACGGTCGGTCCAGCAAAGCACCCCTTACCTGTCAACTGTGAATTCTGCCTTTGTTCCCTCACACCTTTCCCTCTGGAGGAAGACTTCTTTTGAAAAAAGCTTTAAGTCACAGAAGCTAATGTGAAGCAGCTAATTTATAAAATGTAATGGATAATGAAAGCTTTTTCTCATTTTTTCAACTGAAATAATAGTTATGTCTTTACAGGCTAAGGAAAGCTGACTCTTCTTTTTTTGTCTAAAGGCATTTTTGGATCAACAAGAGCCGGAGCCAAAAAAGGGAACAAGTCCATACAGACTTCCTGGTTACAGCAGCAGTTCACCTGTCTGCCACCTGACAACCCATTCCCATTTCCCTCATAGAATATAAATGTCAAATCTCCAGTGGGTTTTATTTAATAAATGTCTAGGAGGCAGTAACAAAAAAGACAGGTTATTTAAAATTTCCTGGCCTATGTGGCTGGTAGAAGATCATTAAGGACTAGTGCTGTGTTTACCCAGTTTTAGGGGTGAAACTTAGTTTGGGGAACTTTTTTTCTTTTTTTGAAAGATAAAACTATTGATTTCTCACACATTAAAAATGCAGTACATGCTGATTGTGTGAAGTCTGAAAAATAAAAGTACCTATAATGAGTAACAGGAGCTCTGGTAGCATAGTGACTAAGGTACTTGACTGCTAACCAGAAGGCTGGTGGTTCAAACCCACCAGCCGCTCCTCGGAAGGAAGATGAGGCAATCTACTTCCGTAGTGATACTGCCTTGGAAACCCAAGGAGTGGTTGCTCTGAGTCAGGTCCGACTCGATGGCATATAATAACAACAACAACATAATGAGTAACATTTATTGAATACTTCCTGTGTACCAGGCCCTGTGCCATATGTGAACTAAGTCATTGGATTCTCACAGTCGACATTCTAGGCCTGAGTCTGCACTTTTCCATGCTACAAAGTCTGGTTCTACCATTTACCTTTTGTGCCTGAGTTTCCTCATCTATAGAAATTAGGATAATAATAGTACCTTCCTCATGTTATTGTGAGGTTCCACTGAGTTAAATCCAACTCACAAGGACCCTGTGGGACAGAGTTGAATTGTCCCATAGGGTTTTCTTGGCTATAATCTTTAAGGAAGCAGGTTGCTGTCTTTTCTCTCATGATTAGCCAGCAAGTGCTTAACACTTATGCCAGTAGGGCTCCTTCCCAAGGATGCCCAGGCTTCATGAATGGACTTCAGAAATCAGTGAGCTCAGTGGCCATGAGTGAAAAGTTATATGTGTGTCCAGAGCCTCGTCAGAGTCTGAAATGGGCCTGTAGCCTAGAAAGGAGCTAAGACACTGCCGTGGAGTTGATCTTCAGTGTGACTCCCCAGGAAGCCTGAGTTGTTCAGACAAAGCAGGGGGGGTGCCACTGCCACACACCATCCATTAACAACTGCCCCACAACCTCTTATGCTTCCTGGGTATCTTCTTTCTTGTCAAGACATACAGGAAAGACAATTGTTCAAAGCTAAGAAGCTGTTCTGACCAGGCAGCTTTTTCTACCATAATGGACTCAGTCATTTCAGGAGCAGTTTGCCTACGGTTGCTTTCCTGAGTTACGAGTTGAGGGCTATATATATTATTGCTGTTGCATTACTTCAGTGTTCCTTGAGGAAGTAGTTGTGTCCATTGTCTCTAGGGCAGGCTGGTGGAAGGAAGTGGCTGCCCTACCGGCAATAGTAAGAGTAGCATCTCTGGGAGCCCAGGAGTAGTAGTTAAAAGTTGTGTGTCAACTTGGCTGGGCCTGGTTGAGTGGCTGGGCAGCTGGTGGTAGTTATTCCCCATGATGAGACTGGCAATCAACCCCATGGGGGGATCTACCACAAGCAGCTGAGTAGCTGCTTTAGGGATGTGGTTTGCTTCCTGTACAGAAGAAGCAGCTTTGGAAATGGTCTCCAGCTTATGGCATGCTTGAACCCTGCATGTAGCTGTGTTGTTGTTCAGCAGCCTGCCATGCTCTGCTGACCTTGGACTTTCAGTGCACTTGAATTAACGGCCTGCCGTGTGTTTTGGTAACATTGGGACTGTGCCTTTTTACTTGTTAACCTTGGGCTTGTCAGTCTCAGCAGCCAGCAACTGTCTGAGTGAAGAAAAGCCTCCAACTTCAGTGGGCCGGGAGCAGGAGGCAGAGCTGAAGCCCAAGGCTGAGGGGCTTTCACCCAGCTCCTAGAGCCTGGCACTTTGAACTCAGACTTACAGCCTCCAAACTGTAGGAGAATAAACTCCTGTTTGTTAAAGCCATCCCATTTGTGGTATCTTCTGTTAGAGTAGCACTAGGTAACCGAAACACCAGAATTATAATAAATCTTACATTATCCTGAAACTATTTGAGCATGTCCCATGTTAACATTCTTTGTTAGCATTTGTTTAGAAGCAAAATATATAGGAGAAAAAAAATGGTTTATTCCCCTGAGAAGTTAATGAATGGCCTTATATAGCCACAAACATGTGAATGGTTTTGAAATGGTATGAGAGTAAAGAAACTAGTCAGGGTTAGTGAAATTGATCCAGGAAGTCTTAGAAGCTTTGTCAGGCAGGAATGAACACAAGTGGGCAGAAGAAAAGGGCCTGTGACCTGAGTAAGTTGTCACCAGGGTGTAGGAGACAAATGGGCTTAGAGGGCTGTGTGTAAGCTGACTTAAGGAGAGCCTGGTATGGATGGAAATGCCAGTCCAAGAGCTTTCATATCCTGGCCTCATTGGATTTTCCAGCAGTTGTTAGAGACGGACAGGGTAGCTATACTGCCATGTCTGTAGGGACAGGACCAGAGGCCAGGCAGTTCCTGAGTCTGGACACTGTCGTGGGGATTTGCAAAACTCCTTGTGACAGTAGTTAGGGCAGCTTATCCCAGAGTTCTCAGATGGGGGACTTTAAACTCTCGACTTCCCTTTCACAGAAGAAGCAGCAGAAAGAAGCCCTCCTTATCTTCTTCCACAGAACAGCTGAGGCCAAAATCCCGTCTATCATGTAAGTGGTCGCCAGGTGTCGACATAACTCTCTCTTTCTCTCTGCTTTATAAACAAGCACCTATCTACTTCCATAGTGATGCTGCCTCAGAAACCCAAGGAAGGGACACTATGAGTCGGGTCCAACTCGACGGCACACAACAACAACAATTACCTTAGCCGCGAGAATGGTTTCTGTTGCTGTGTAAGAGATGATCAGTGTTTTGAGATTGGATTATAGAGCTGCTTTGAAAAAATTAAAAAACTGGGGACACCATAGGCTGAAGGCATGCATCAGCCTCTAACTGGGCCCCCTACCAGGATGTGCTTGGGGCCCCTAATAGGCCCTGTCTTGGCTTAGGCAGACTGGTACCACCCTGTAAGGAGCGTGGAGCTGACCCAAATCCTGAGGGAAAGGCTGTCCTCTCATGAGAACTGTGGTCATCTGCCTTCAGGAATTTCAGGGAAGATGGTAAAGCATCCTTCCAGGCTGGGTCTGGTCTTTTCCAAAGACGGGGGTTTCCACTTTTGTTATCTAAACAGAAAGGCTTCTGGTGGAGTTGGTGCAGAAGGTATGCTAGGTGGCCATTCCACACTTAGTTCTCTTCCTGTCTTACAAACTGAAGCTAAAGGCATACTTTCTATTCACAGCATCGTTCAGTGGCTGTTTAAAAATCTCACTTGTTTCCTTTTCTTAAAAGAAGAGAAACCCATTCATGTTCAGATACCACCGTGGTAGACACTTGAGGCAATTCTAATGGTATGCAGTTTGCTTTCTTTTTATTGTTTAACATTCATGGGACACTCTGCAGGATAATGGTCTAAGTGATTAAATTACAATGAAAATGAGGACAGTGTGCGCTGAGCGCACCAGATTGGCTGTGGGGACTGGGATCTGGGGCTAAATAGAGACACACGTGGCCGATCCCACCCTCTCCACTCAGCCCCCAGGCCTCCTTGCCCCACTGCTCTCTCCCTCTCCCCACCTCAGTGTGGGGAGAAGGCACGTTTCCTGCATTCTTCAAATCTAAGATTCCTCTCAGAAGGACTGCCAGGTGTTACCATCTTTCCTGCACCGTCTGGCATTGTTCTTTTCACTTATGAGACTGTTATGAGACTAACAGGAGCTCTGGTGATGCAGTGGTTAAAAGTGCCCAGCTGTTAGCGAAAAACTCAGTGTTCAAACCCACCAGCCTCTTATTTGAGCCTACCAGCTGCTCCAAGGAAGAAAGATGTGACAGTCAGTTTCAGTAAAGATTTACAGCCTTGGAAACCTTATGGGGCAGATCTACTGTCCTATAGGGTCTCTGAACCAGAATCCATTTGAGGGCAGTGGGTTTGTTTTTGGTTTGGGTTTATGAGACTAAAAAACTCCAGATGTGGTTTTGTATAGCCTGCAAACTTCTCTCCTAGAAATTAGTCTGAATTGCCCCCACCAACCCATGTCTTGTGTGACGCTCAGTAACAGATGGTTGGGGCATGAGTGCTCTCCTTTGCTTCCTGGGGTTGTCACTGACTACAAAATGCAGGGTTCAGGGGTGTCTCTTTTTCTGGATGTTGGGCCAGAACCACCTATTTCCTTTAGACATTTTGGAATATAACTACTTTGCCCATACCTTATACATACTTGCTCAGAACACTACCATAAACGGTATAGGGCTTTTTTGTTTCCAAACAGATTTTGTATCTGTACTAATTCATTTTACATTTTTGATATCTCTGTGAGATTAAAAAAAAAAAAAAACCTAACCCGGTTGCCATGGAGGTGACTGGCTCACAGTGACCTGTGTGTCAGAGTATCACATGCTGCACAGGGCTTTCAGGGCTGAGTTTTCGGAAGTACATCAGGCCTTTCTTCTAGATGCTCTGGGTGGACTCGAACCTCCAACCTTTCAGTTGGCAGCCCAGCATGTTAACCATTCGCATCACCCAGGGACTCCTTGTGAGGTCAGTAAAATAAGAATTACAGATCTTTTTTTTTTTTTTTTAAGATGCAGAAACTGAGTAAATTCCATATACTCTCTACCCTCAGGGTCACACCTTTAGTAAATGAGTAACTAAATGTTACCCAGGATTTAGTGAAAATTAGACTGTAGATCTTAAAACCCCAATTTCCTCTGCTAGTTGTTTTTCTTTTTTTGTTGTTCTTGTTTATCTGGTTTTATTTTAATGGGCAGTCTTTCGACATAGAATACAGGGTTCTTGTGGTAGCAAATATTTCCTGCCTGGTCACTTAGGGACTTGGGGCAGGGGAGAAGAACAAAGCCATGTCCAAGACACAGAGGGCTGACGGGCACTAGGAAAATGGGGGCCCCTGGTTTTTATGAGCCAGTCAAGTCAATTTTGTGGCTTTGTGACTTTTTGATGCTGTAACAATCAACTTTTTGCTTATGTCATGGCAAATTTTATGTTTCCCAAACTAATTAAAGCAGATGCTATTAGTGTTCCCAAATTGAACTCAAGTTGGGTACCCTGGTTGGCCATAGTGTTGCTTAAACATAGTTCTTAGATTTTTAGAGCACAGTCCACTTACCTTCTGCCACCTGCCTGGGGCAGAGCAAAGTGTTGAGCTGTGTCTTTCTTCAAGGCAAGTAATGCCTGTTCCCTGCACAGACACACAAGTCTGGGTGTGGCCAGAGGGGTGCCGTGTGCTTTCAGGAGCTCGCCTTCTTGGTTGCCTGTGTGCGAGCGGCTACCTGTACCTGGCTTACCTCTTCTGTAGCGTCAGGGTGCTCTGCAGGGCAGTAACCTTTGAGGAAACTGGAAGGCCTGCTAACTGGTGACTTCCTACCACAGCTCCCTGCAGGTAGCTGCCTTCCTCTGAGGCCAGGGCTAAACATTATGGTTCGGCAGGTAAGAGAAAACACAGTGGATGGAGGAAAGAAGTAAGTTAAAGAGAGAATAAGGACAAAGTGGTTGAGAGCCTTCACTCCATATTCTTTTACCTCAGAAAAAGTTCCGTTACCACTTTTGGCCCTGTAGTTCCAAGTCTGAAATGGGTGGGAACCAGAGCGTTTTCCCTAAACACCAGACAGTCCCTGATGGCCTCTTCACTGTTACTCCTTATATCCCAAACTTAAGCTTCCAGAAAGTTGTGTAGTGTCAAAATCCCTTGACTCCCTGCTTAGGGGTTTTGAGGTCTACAGAAGATGCCTTAATTTGCTGGAAAACACATTATGATAACAGCAACTGAAGCGGAAACTGTTAATTATCTTCTGTGATCCTAGACAATCATGTTTCAGTAATGTACCAGATGCACATAAAACTTAAGGATATTTCAATTTATTTGTGTATGTGAGTTGGCTGAAAAGAATAAAAGAGCCCTCTTTGCTTCTTTATACACATGGCAGAAGGTGGCTGCCCCACCTTCTCGAATTCCCCTTCTTCTATTGAGATGATCTGGTGGGAGGAAAAGGGGAGAGGTCAGCTTCCAGAGAAGGGAGTGAACGGCTGGGAGGCTGGGTACCCCAAAGGTGTCTACTATGGACAGTCACTTTTCAGGAACTAACCTCAACTGGATGACTAACTGTGTGTTTATGTTATTTCCTTGTCCTTGTCAAATGCAGTGAATATATCCTGGACTTACTGGAAAGTGGAAAAGAGAAGTTTCTAGTGTTTGCACACCATAAAGTGGTTTTGGATGCAATCACTAATGAGCTTGAGAGAAAGGTAAGCTGCTTTTGAAATTCGCCAGAGTGCTTTCAGTGTTTGTCTGTCGGCTTCTCAGCAAGTTTAGGCCAGATCCCAGCAAACAAGTAAGATGGCAGTTTACAGGAACATTGCAAGAGACTTCCACAGAGGAGTTCTTGCTTGTCAGCCCACAATGGGGTCGAGATATCTTCCCATCAGTGTCACTTATCGCACTTACATGTCTGTGTGTGCATGTGTGTGTGTACTTAGTGTGTGTGCACGGGTATCTCCAAGCATGGTCTTGCTTGGTCACTGGACAGGCTCCTCTCCACATTCCTAGGTATTACCAGCTTGCCTTCCAAGACAGTTGTCACATTCACAGTCCTGGCAGCAGCTAAGCCCTCTAATCTGGATGTTCACCAGCACTTGGTATTTACCACACTTTGTCCTCTTGACCATTCAGTGAGGTGAACTGTCATCTTGTTGTTATTTTAATTTGAATTTTCCTGATGACCTTTTATGTTCTCTCTGATTTGTGCATTTTATGACTGGTTTAAGAACTCTTTCCCTCCTGTATTTTTTGTCTGAAAATGTTAGGTGTATCTTTCATCCACTTTTGATGTTTTTATATGATATGACACAGGTAACCAGGCAGTAGACTTAAAAGCTATAATCCCTACAAAGAGAAAAACCAGAGCCATCACTGTTTTTAAGAAACCCAAGACAATTAATTGAAAACTTATTGGACTGCATAAGAGTTTAGTAGGGTGCCTGGATTCGAACTAAATACACTAAAATAAATTGCTGTTTTATGTGCCGGCTATAACTAATGAGTAAATGTAATGGAAAAATATCAAGCTCACAGTAGCAACAAAAAACATAAAGTACCTCCTAAGAATCTCACCAAGGAGAGTGCAGAGACTAATGAAGAATTATAGAGACTTGCACCATTTTCCCCCATGAAAAGGAGTGTAGAAATGCCAGTCCTTCCTAATTAATTTGTGGGTTTAGTTCAGTTCTAATAAATATTCCAGTTGGATTTTTAAAGGGAACTTTATATACTATTATTCCAAAAGCTGTCTCAAAAAGCAAGCAGGAGATTTGGCTAAACTAACTTTGAAAAAGAACAATGTCAGAGGACATGCCCCTCCAGATACTAAACTCTATTATAAAGCACTAGTCACTGATACTCAGTCATGCTGGACCGAGAATTGGTGGCTAGGTGGATGGAATAGAATGGACAGCACTTTAGGATAAATAAACAATGAGCACCTGCTCCAGGAATCATCACAAAGTTGGTTTAATGTACTCAACAAATGAAGTTTGGGTAGTTGGCTGAGTAACTGGAGGAAAAACTTAAACCTTACATCACCATTTGTGATATTAAATTCCAGTGAATCAAGGATCCTTGAAAGCATAAAATATTAGGAGAAAGTATAGCTGAACATAGAGCTGACCGCTGGATGGAGAATGACTTGCTATGCCTAAAAGCAATGAAAGAAGGCAGAGCTGAAGCCCAAGGTCAAGGGGCCTTCACCCAGCCCCAGAGCCAGCATTCTAAATTTGGACTTCTAGCCTCCTAAACTGTAAGAGAATAAATGCCTGTTTGTTAAAGCCCTCCCACCAAAAAAAAAAAAAAAAAAAAGAAAGAAAGAAAGAAATTACAAGGAAAAGAAATTCATATTACCCAGCAGTGTGACTCCATTCATCACACATGTGCACAGTGGTTAAATCATGAGACTTTGGAACATTTGGTACGTTTTTTGTGGGGCAATTTAGCATTAGCAGTAACTTAACATCCACACTCATTTTCCCAGACTTCCTTTCCTGTAAATAACCAGATGAGTACAGAAAGCTTCGTGTGCAAGAATGTTGGTTATGTTGTTTGTAATACTGAATAATTAGGAGGTACTACTGTTAAATAAGTTACAGCTCATTCAGCCATAATAAATGATAATGTAGATCCTTAACTTTTGGACATCATTGGACCATTTAAGAATTTGAGGAAATTCTAAAATGAAAGCTATTGGTATCTGGTTGGTATATATTGGTATGGAAAGCTGTCCATGATGTATTGTTAAAAAGCTCTATGTATAATAATTTTTAAAAACTGTGATGCATAGAAAAAGGCCTGAAGCATGAACCCCAAAAACATTAATGATGCTTATCTCTACCTAGTCCTCTGTCTTGTTTTCTTCATCCTATATTTTTATGATTATGCATTGTTTTTATAATCATAAAAATTGAAAGTATTTAAAAATACATAGAGGCATTTAGAAAACAAATGAAAGGAAATAAGCTAGAGACATAGATGACATACTGGTAGTAGCCTTTCCATATAAAGATAACAGTAATCCCAAGAGAGAAAAAAATGAGCAAAGTATGTGAATTGATAGTTCATCAAAGAAATAACCAAACCAAAAAAACAAACTTACTGCCTTTGCATCAGTTCAACTCAACATGAACCATCCTTGGGTTTCCAAGGCAGTATGCCACCAGAGCGCCCAAAGAAATAACACCAGTAGCCAATATGACATGAAAAGATTCAACTAGTAATCAAATAAATGAAAAAATTAAAACTAGGTACTCTCTTTTTTTAACATATCAAATCAGCAGAGATTTTTGTTATTTTTTTAATTGTGATTTGAGTGAAAGTTTACAGAGCAAATTAATTTTCCGTACAGCAGTTCATACACATTTTGTTTCCTGACATTGATTACCATCCTAACAACGTAACAGCTCTCTTCCCACTTCCTCCCCCTGGTTCCCTCTGCCCCGTGTCCTTCTTTCCTGTGCATTCCTGCCCGCCAAGCTGTCTCACTGCACAAATACTGCCCTTCTGATCTCCCATGATTGATCACTCTAAGGAATGTACCCACCTGGTGTAAATGTTCACCTTATACACCTGTCTGTTGTTTGGCTGGAAGCCACGGGAGTGAGTTCAAGTCCAGGCTTGAAGGTTGCCTCTAGGGGCCATAGTCTCAGGGGTTTCACCAGTCTCTATCAGACCAGTGAGCCTGTTTTGTTTTTTTATGATTTTGAGTTTTGTTCCACATTATTCTCTCTGTCCAGGTGCTCTGATTCCTTTCTGAGTGATTGACAGTTGTAGGTGAGCGCCATCTAGTTCTTCTGGTCTCATGGTCATGTAGGCTGAGGTTCACATGGTCCATTAGTCCCTTGGACTAACAGTTTCAAATCAGCAGAGGTTTATAAAATGTGTGGTGCTCACTGTTGACCAAGGTACAGTGAGATAGATATGCCCATACATACCTTTTAGAAAAGCAATTTGCCCATAATATCAGGAGCCTTAAATTTTTTCCCTTTTGCCATAGGACTTTGATTTTTAGCAGCTAAACTCACTGTCATCCAGTCATTTCTGACTCATAGAGTCCCCTCCTTGGGTTTCTGCTACATTATGCCTATGGAAGTAGATTGCCCAGTCTTCCTTCCTCTGAGTGGCTGATGGGTTTGAACCGCCAGCTTTCTGGTTAGCAGTCAAATGCTTTAGGCACTACTCCACCAGAGCTCAGCAGCTAGTGTAAGGAAATAATCAAATGTGGACAAAGAACATGAATGGGTACTCAACCCATCCTTTTTACAGCTTTATTGAGGTATAATTGCCAGACAGTAAGCTGCATATACCTAAAGTGCACAGCTTGCTAACTGTATGCAGTCAAGACAGTGAATATGTCCACCCCCAACAGTCTGCTTGTGCCCCTTTGTGATCCCCACTCCTGCCCCTCACGGTCCCCCCACCCCCAGGCAGCCACTGCTCTACTTTCTGTCACTATACATCAGTTTGCATTTTTTTATACACTCTTGTTTTTTGTTTTATTTCTTTCATGAGTATAATTATTTTGCGATTCATTCATGTTCTTGCACTTACCAATCATTTGTCCCTTTCTGGTACTGAGTAGTAGTCCCTTCTGTGGACAAAACCACACTTTTTTTAATCCTTGTACCTCTTGATAGACATGTGCCAACCTGTCCTTTTTCAGTGGTGCAGAAATAGACTATTAACTCATTGTATTGCCACATAAGTAAATGCAAAACCATGGAAAACCATGTTTTAGAAAACTAGTAATGCCGTTTATTTACAAAACAATATTAGCTGGGGAAAAGCAGGATATAAAACTTTTATAAAAAGATAGACACATTGAGAAAATAGTGGCAGGAAAACAATGGATAAGGTTACTAATATTTTTTTTCTTTGTAGTATTTATCATTAGAAAAAATAATTAATGTCATTTAAAGAAAATAAGGGAATCTGAACATCTGCCTACCCTATGATCTAGTAATTGGCTTGATGCCATTTAAATAAAACAAGCAATTGCCATCCAGTTGACTCTGGGTCATAATGACTGTTCACCTCAGAGAAATGAAAACTTATATTCACCCAAATCCTGTACACAGATGTTCAGAGCAGCTTGGCTTGAAGCCCCCAAACTGGAGTCAACTCAGATATCCTTCAATAGGTAAACAGTTAATTAAAGGTAGCATCTACATACCATGGCAGTAAATACGAATGAACTACTGATATACCGTTAGCAACCTGGCTGACTCTCCAGGGGATCTTCCTGAGTGCAAAAAGCCAGTTCCAGAAGTTTATATACTGTAAGATTCCATTCATATAGCATTCTCGAAATGATGACATTTTAGAAATGCAGGTGAGTGTTGCCTGAACTGGGGTGAAAGGAGGAAGGAAGAAGGGGGGTGGCTGTGATCACAAATCACAGAGGAGTCTCTGAGGTATTGGAACTGACCACGGAGGTGGGTACATGAAAACCTATGTGGGTGATAAAATTGTATTGAATACACCCCAACCCAGGCTCCCCACTATGCACAAATGAGTACAAGAAAAGGAGCCGTGGTGGTGCAGTGGTTATGTGTTTGGCTGCTAACCAAAAGGCTGGTGGTTTGAACCCATCCAGCGCTCCATGGAAGAAGGACCTGGGAATCTGCTCCCAGAAAGACTGCAGCCCAGAAATCCCTGTGGGGCAGTTCTGCTCTGTCACATGGGGTCACGATGACTCAGAACCGACGCGACACCTAACGACAGAGCTGGGGAGCTCTGAAGAGATGGGTAGATTCTGTCACTGCCAACATGCAGAGTTGTGACAGTGTAGTTTTACAGGACGTCACCACTGGGGTATGGTGGCAGAGCAAGCCAGGGATCTCTGTATCGCTTCTTACTACTGCGTGTGAATCTGCAATGGTTCAGATTTCAGTGAAACGGAAAGGAAAGCCATTCAGAAGCCAGGGGGCTTGGCCCCCACGCCTGCCTTCTAGGGCTTGGGCCCTTGGTCCTGTGTTCTGTCTGGGAGCAGAGGTGCCCTGTCACAGCCGCCCTCCTCGGTTTTGTCTCCTTTCATGCAGCACGTGCACCACGTCCGCATTGATGGCTCCACCTCCTCTGCCGACCGAGAGTCCCTGTGCCAGCAGTTCCAGCTGTCCGAGAGACACGCCGTGGCCCTGCTGTCCATCACTGCAGCCAACATGGGCCTCACCTTCTCCTCTGCTGACTTGGTGGTCTTTGCCGAACTGTTCTGGAACCCAGGGGTAAGGGACGCAAAAGGCTTGACTGTATTCCCCTGCTACGCACCTGGTTGGGGGAAGGAAGGCACTGCTTTTAGCTGGGAGGACGGGGTCTGTATGGGCTTTTCCGATCACCAGTTTCATCTCCTCCCTGAGGTTCTGTCCGCCTCGGGAGTGTGTTTATGCTTCCCACACAGCAGATCTGGCTCCCGTTAAGCCTGCCACATCTACTGGCAAGTCCTTTGGTCTTCACTACAGCCTGCTAAGTAATGGGATTATTGATGCCATTTAATCACGGGAAATGTGAGGTTGCTGAAGGCTGGAAGGAATCTTAGAATTCATCTTCCCGTGAAGAGATTGGGGCCCCTGAGCTGAGTGTGAGCCCAGGATCCCATGGCTGTCACTTAAGGGGGACACATGGCAGCTGCAGGCTGCACCTAGTCTCCTGATGTGCTAGTCACTGCCCTTTCATAGTCATCAGGTGAGCTGCTGACAGGGCCACAGGCAGGAGGAGTGGGTGGCAGACACAGTCACTGTGCCCATTGGCTTTACCTGGGCATCTGAGGGCTGTGATAGCAGATAAAGGCGTTTGCTTGAACTTGACATTTTCTAGGCACTAGAAAGCAGGCATTCCTGCTGACGTTCCGATGTGGCATGGCTTTCACTGACTGCACATCAGTGACGGCTTTAATGATGGGGAATGTTAAGGTTACAAAGCATTTTACAACAGCAACAACGCTCTTCGGTTTTAGTTATTGTAAGACTCACCACCATATTAAGACCCACCCTGCTCTCTGATCCCACTTGGCTGCTAACAAAAAGGTTGGAGGTTTGAATCCACTCAGGTGCCTTGGAAGAAAGGCCTGGGAATATACTTGTGGAGTATCAGCCACTGAGAACAACTGTGGGACACAGGTCACCTCTGACACAGGTGGACTCGATTCCATGGCACCTGGGCTTTGTTTTTCCCTTCTGTTCACCTGTGGCTTCTTCCCTGGGTGGTGAATTTTTATCTTTTTGGAAGAGGGTTGTTTTTATTTCACAGAGAGAAGGCATGGACATGTGCAGGGTTTCCCTTGTCTGCCCCGCTCTCCGAGCCTGATACAGGGCCTCCACTTGCTCTCCTCGCGTCACCTAGCACAGGGCCCGACACAGAAGGTCGCTCCACAGATGTCCAGCTCCTGATTCTGTCTTGTTTGGTTCTCACGTTTGCTAAAATGGCAGGTCGTTTGTAGGCAGGGGCTTGCAGGCCTCCCACCATGTGATACAGCGCTTTGAGGAGGGGTCGTGGGGGTGTAGAGGGGCACAGAGCTGCTGGGCTGGACTGCGTCAGGCCTTCACTGCCGTGTCTCTGCTCCTTGGGGCCTGCAGGTGCTGATGCAGGCTGAGGACCGCGTGCACCGTATTGGACAGACATGCTCCGTGGGCATTCACTACCTCGTGGCGAGAGGCACAGCGGATGATTATCTTTGGTATGGCCTGGTGGCTGCAGTTCAGCAAGGGTTGACACCAGTGATGTATTTTCTTCAGTCCCTAAGTGCTTCTGCTTCTGCTAAGATGTCCAGGGGTCCACAGATAAGACCTTTTAGCAGTGCCCTCCCACCTCACCATGACCACGTGTGGCCCCTTCACTGATGGCCCGCAGGAGAGAACCTTATCGGAGTGAGAGGAGGTGGCCCCATTTCCCAGTGGTCTGAGACGAGGGAGGAATCGATGGTGATGAGATGTAGGTGGGATTTCATTTGTAAAACACTCCATTCTCAGCCCATGCAGTGCTGGTCGAGGCTAGGTGACAGCTTCCTTTTTCTACTTCATGAAGCGTGTTGGTCTCATAGGCCACATGTAACCATGTTGGACCAGAGGGAACACAGTTCACCTGGGCTGTGAGCAGAGCTGGGATAAAATGTTCAACGCTGGGGGTTCATGTCTCCTACCTAAGCCAGTTTCCAAAATGTTCTACACAACCCTGTCATCCCCCTTCATGATATTAAGTTCCTTGGTTATCTCATTCCTTTCCTCTGCTCATTTGTTTCCAGCCTTAGGGTGTCTTACCTTTGCAGGGTATGTAGGGCATTCCTACTCCCTCTGTTAGTGGAAGTGTTAACTGGACAGCTCATAATATCATTGGGTTCAAAATGTTTTTGTAAAGAGATGTTTTATTTCCTGTGCATCTTCCATTAAAAAGAATTTTGGACCTGATTTATGAGCCCTCATTTGGGGACTGTGAGAGGGGGTGACATCTCAGGGTGGCCTTGAGAGCTGCCAAGATGTGGGACAGTAAGCACATCACAGCCTCATATGGGTGAGTGGGTGGTGGTGGTGGTGGTGTTATGTGCCGTTGAGTCGGATCCAACTCATAGCGACCCCTCCTTGGGTTTCCAAGGCAGTATCACTATGGAAGTAGATTGCCCAACCTTCCTTCTGAGGAGTGGCTGGTGAGTTTGAACCACCAACCTTCTGGTTAGCAGTCAAGTGCCTTAGGCACTATGCTACCAGAGCTCCTATGGGCAAGTGGGTGTCCGTGCTTTAATCAGCCCAGTGGTTCTGTTTAGACTTTTCAGTGCAACTCAATTTTCCCTACCAGGCCTCTGATTCAAGAGAAGATTAAAGTTCTGGGTGAAGCCGGGCTTTCTGAGACCAATTTTTCAGAAATAACAGATGCCACCGATTACTTCTACAAGGTAACACCAGCGTGTGGCTCCCTTGCCACAGAACAGACGGAGGTGCTGAGTGGGCTGCTAAGCTGAGTGGGTGCTGCATGGGAAAGTGTGACTCAGTCTTCAGGACCTCCTACAGCCCAGGAGCTGAGCATGACAGGGCTGCCGTGGATCCTGGTCCAATCCATGCACACACCGCTGTGTGCAGAAATGATGGCATCACCTCTGCTGTTCCTCATGTCCCCTTGTAGAGACTCATAAAGCAAGGGCTTCCAAAGGCTGCTGCCTCTTCCATTAGACCATTAGATACTGACAGAAAACTCCCCATGGCAACTGTGGAATTATTGCAAAAAGTACATAGCAACACCAAACAGAAGGGCTGCCACACGGACATTTTTCCGGCACAGAACGGGGAGGGTTGAAAGTAGGGTATTGTTTTTACATCATACATTTCCCCCTCTGTCGTTTCATTTTTTTTCAGAGTCTCCCCCATTTTATGGAGAAGTAAACTGAGATGGTGAGCTCCGGTGTAGTGCGAACAGTTAATGCACTCGCCTGCTAACTCAAAGGTTGGAGGTTTGCCTCTGGCCAGAGGGGCCTCAGGGAAAAGGCCTGGCCGTCTACTGAACACTCAGCCTCAAAAACCCTGTGGAGCACAGCTCTACTCTGACGCACATGGGGTCACTGTGAGGCAGTGTCAACTCCATGCTACGGTTTTTGGTTTGGTTTTGTTTTTTGGCCTTTAAACTGAGACACTGCAGAGCATTAAGATTTGGGCAGAGTGACAGGTCATGTGAAGCCAGCCCCAGCAAGACAGCTTCCTGATTCAGCCCAGCAGTCTTTGTGAGCCATCAGGCTCTAACTATAAAGGGCAGTAAGAGACCAGTGGGTACCCTTCCAGGATCAGGTGGGCCATCAAGAGGTGCTGTGGAGAGAACCCCCTGGCCTACCCAGCCTGCCTGGGCCTCAGCACGCCTGCCTAATCATGGCCACTGCCTTTTCCTCCTGTTTCAAGGAAGGTGATGGAGATGGACAAGAGACTCAGGCTTTTTTTCAGCTCAGGTGGTTGGTAAGGAAGGTCAAAATCCAGGAGAAAGACATGTTAGAGAAGTGTCTTAAGTAGGGAGCTTGGCCTGAGCCCTGAGCTTCACACAGAAGACTGGCCTACAGTCGCTCCTCAGGAAACCAGGGGTCTTTCTCTTGCCCATGGAGTTGCTAAGGACCACATTGAATTAAACCAGCAAAGTCTTCTAGGTGACACTAAGACTTAAGAAGGAGTTTGAGGACTGACTTGATCGTTCATTCACATTAGCAGATAAAGCTTTCCTTCCTGATGTAGTTACCAGGGTAAATCAGGCTTAAAGGTCATGTTTTTAAACGGAGAGCTTAAATTATTATCCCTTTCAGTGCAAAACAGTTAATAAGGCAATTTTCAAACAGTCTTCTCTTAAGCTTTTGAAAGAGCTCTAATTCAGTTGACTGGTAGGTGTTTGCATCTCCTGGGTTCCTATATGCCCTTTGAAAAGAAAGAGGCTTATTTTTAAAAGATTCTCTTATTTGAACTCACTTATTCATATTGGCATTTCCCTCAGTTTCTCTGAATTAGTTAAGAATTTCTTCCTCCAGTATAAGTGCAACATGATATAAATGGGATTTGTCAATATTTATTTTGATTAAGAACCACATCTATTTTTTTTATTGAGAGAGGGCTAAAAATTCTATCAGCTTTTTACAGGAAGAAAACTGCCTCCTGTAGGGGGGATAAAGGCAAAAGAGGCCGTTTCACTCAGATGGTCTTCCTTCTGAGGGAAATGAAATACTAATCTGATCTTCAACTTGCTCTCAGTTAATTACGCATGCTACAAGTTAGCATGAAAGTTAGCTTACTGCAGTGCCGTCACCATAATCAAATGCACCTTAACAGTTATTTCTACTTGGAACAGGCTGCCTTGACCTTGCAGTTCAGACGGAGTTCAGTGAGGATACCCTGGAGGAGGACTTGTGGTTGGGGAGGGGCTGGCCTTGATCTTTAATATCACATCTGCTCAGCATGGCTGGGTTCCTGAGAGGCTAGTGAATGTAGGGCCTAAGTTATGAGGGTAATCTGGAGCTCTTCCATGACATGCTCCATGACCAGTTTTCAGGAATTTGACTTCACTAACTTCACTCACTGTTAAGGAGTAGTGAGGAAATAGTGCCACCAGCACCTGCAAAAGGAGCTCTGGTGGCATAGTGCCTAAGGCATTTGACTGCTAATCTGAAGGCCCACCGGCCACTCCTCAAAAGGAAGGTTGGGCCATCTATTGCCATAGTGATACTGCCTCAGAAACCTAAGGGAGGGGGTTACTATGTGTTGGATCCAACTCGACTCGAAGGCAGTGAGGTTTTTTTTTTTTTTTTCCCCTAGGACCTGCAGAAGGAGTCCTGGTGGTGCAGGAGTTAAGCATGAACTGAAAGATTAGCAGTTTGAACCTTACCCAGTGGCTCCAAGAAAGAGAGACCTCACAGTCTGCTCCTTTAAAGATTACAGCCTAGAAAACCCTCTGGGACAGTTCTCCTCCATCCTGTAGGGTCACTAGAGTTGGAATTGACTTGAAGGCACGTAACAACAACAATAGGACCTGAAAAGCCAAGGAAGCAACTTTAGACTTGATGAGGTAGACACCAAACCAAAGACCAAACCCATTGCTATGGGGTGGATTCCAACTCATAGCGACCCTGTAGAACAGAGTAGTAGTGTCCCATAAGCCTGTCCCATAGACTTTTCAAGGCTATAAATCTTTACAGAAGCAGGTTGCCACATCTTTCTCCTGTGGAGTGGCTGGTGAGTTTGGTTAGCAGCCAAATACTCTAACTACTGCACCACCAGAGCTCTGAGGTAGACATGGGGGAGCTCAGTGACGTGACAAAGAAAATCTTGTTAAAGGACCAAAAAAACCAAACTCACTGCCATTGAGTCAGATCCGACTCAGAGTGACCCCTCCTTGGGTTTCCGAGGCAGTATCACTATGGAAGTAGGTTGCCCAATATTCCGTCTGAGGAGTGGCTGGTGGGTCTGGTTAGCAGTCAAATGCTTTAGGCACTACATTACCAGACCTTCTTGTTAAAGGACAGGCTGGGGAAAATAATCACTGTGACAGAGACCTGTTAGCCATTGGTAGTGGGAAGTGGCCTGAGGTAAGAACTCCCATTGAATTATTGCAAGTTGATTCAGGTGATGGGGCTCCAGCAAGAAGGTGACTGTGGAGGAAACAGATTTGGGTAGTAATGTTTCCTTGTATAGCTGCTTTGCAATAACAAGTATCTTTCTCTCCTCTCAAAAAAAAAAAAGTGACTGTGAAGTAGAGGCAGGAACTGATGGGAGACACAGGGAGACTGTAGGAATGTGAGTGTGACACAGTGTCAGAAATAGGCCCTCCGCGAGAGATGCTGGTTGGTACAGGAGTGAGACGAGAGATGCTTTTGGCTTCGGGCAGGTTTATTTAGGGAATTGTGGGACATCAGTGGAGATACTGAAAGTGTACCTCTGGACTAAAAGGTGGTCCGGGTTGGGAATTTAGATGTCGCCGTGATCGGTAGAGGGGTGACCACGAGCTCATCTTGCCTCCTGTTGGGCGTGGTTGGATCCCCATCGTCAACAGTCAACAGCGTACCAGTGCAAGTGGGGTGCTTTGATCATCTGTAACCCTACCATAATCAGGAGCAGTTCAGGCTCTGTGTTTTGGGTGTGTTTATGTTTCATTAGCCACTTTGAAATTAGGTGTAAACTAGAGCCCAGCACACAAACTTGGGAGTCAAATTACAGTTTTAATTAACCCCTTGGTAGAGAAAGGCTTTGGGAGAAGTGAGATGGGTGGGAGCTATTTGAATATTGAAATGTTAATTTGCAAAGGAGAGAGGGAACACTTCCAACAAGAATTCTAGTGTGGAGCACATTCTCCGTTGCTCTCACTGCTGTTTCTTTTTTCTTGGCCCAATGAGCATCAGAGAAGATAGCAGACTCTAGCCTTGAACACTGTGCTCTTAAACTATCTATATGAGATCCAATGGGCAACAGCAACTCAAAAGGTTAAAGAAAAGAAACTTAAGGGGCAGTGAGCTCATGTTACTGGTGAAGGAATCATTTGGTGAAGGAATCATTTGGAAAAAGGGGGGTAAGAATGGTTGCACACCATGAAGAGTGTAATCAGTGGCACTGACCTGTGAATGTAGGAATTGTTGGTGTGTGTTTTGCTGTGTGCAATTTCAACAACAAAAAGATGTCAGGCTAAAGCATTAAGGCCGCTTGGTGATAAATGGCTACCTGCAGTGGTCTGTACTCTGCCACCATACAGAACGCTGACGGCATAAAATATGTCATCCTTTGGGCCTTTGTATTCTGTCATCAGCCACAGTGGAGGAGAGCAGGGGAGGTGTTTGAGCCTGGGTCCTTTCTCTTATCTTTCTTATTCTTTATCTCATGAAGGACCCAAAGCAGCAGAAGATCTACGACCTATTCCAGAAGTCGTTTGAGGAGGACGGAAGAGATATGGAGCTCCTGGAGGCACTGGAGTCCTTTGACCCAGGAAGTGCTTCAGGAACACCTGGAAGCAGTTCCCAGGACGTGGCAGACACCCTGGATGAGAGCACACTTACAGACAGTCCACCTAAGAAAAGGAAATTTGAATTTTTTGATAACTGGGACAGCTTTACCTTTCCCTTTTAAGAGAGATTCAAAAAAAAACACTTAAGAATCAAAGAATTCATTAAAATAAAATAAGGCATTTTTGTTTTTCATGCCTGTTGTCATTGACAGTGCCTTTCTGTGTCTCTAAGCCCACTGGGTTAGCAGACAGATATCAGCGGTTCATTTCCCACGTCTCTATGGTCTTAGTTAACCTCCGCTTTTCTAAGATGTGGTCATTCAGACTCTTTAAATAATGGAATTACGTTGTCCTATAGGGTTCCTATTTGGAGCTCTGATGATACAGTGGTTAAAGCACTCAGCTGTTTACCAAAAGGTCAGCAGTCTGAACACACCAGCTGCTCCTTGAGAGAAAGATGTGACAGTCTTCCATAAAGATTTACAGCCTTGGAAACCATATGGGGCAGTTCTACTCTGTCCTTTAGGGTCACGATGAGTCAGAATCAAACCTGATAGCAATAGGTTTGGTTTAGTGGGTTTTGCTATCACCTTGGTGCCTGCCACACACAGTGCCCCTTATGGTAGAGCAAGGTGTCATTTGAAGGGCCTAGCCTTGTACTTGGCATTTGGTATTACATCTGAAACCACCATTCTGTGTGGTCTTACTACGTGTGTCCTGCCAAGCCTCTATCTAAGGCCTCCAATTGAACCCTAGTTGCAGCTGCTGTGGAGAGAAATTCCCCTTTCTCTTTGATATACCCTTGAAGACTCCCAAAACAACTTTTATTTATATCATGTGCCATTGAGTCGGACCCAACTCATAGTGACCCCTCCTTGGGTTTCTGAGGTGGTATTACTACGAAGTAGATTGCCCAACCTTCCTTCTGAGGAGTGGCTGGTGGGTTTGAACCGCTAGCCTTCTGGTTAGCAGTCAAGTGCCTTAGGCACTACGCTACCAGAGCTCCTTTATATCATGTAGCCCATATATTTTAAGTTGTTAGCTGCTGTCAAATTGGCCCTAACTCATGGCAACCCCATACTCGAAAAGAATGAAATGCTGTCAGGTCCTGCACCATCCCCACGACCTATTGCTGACTGGACCACTGTGATCCGTAGGGTTTAAGACCAACCCAGGGTACGTCTGAAATCGAGCGAGAGCCATCTAGCCATTTCTGTGTGATTAGTAAAAGACGCTTGGATTTATTCATAGAGACAATGACTACACCTTTAGGCTTAAGGAAGGATTTCCATACTGACTTCTTTTCTTCCTTTGTTTTGCATCTCAGTCCAGGCTCCCAGTACCATGTTTTCGGAACAAAACCCAGGCCCCTTAACCCATGTCCCTGTACCAGTTGTGTCCTTAAAAGGTTTTATGAAAAGTCCCCCCCCCTCCGGCCCCAGAGTTTATTTTTGCCTCCCCTCACCAGGGTCATTTGGGGGTGTCTTACTCCCCAAGTGAGCCTGGTTCATTTCTACCTCTAGGGCTAGCACCAGGAAGCCAGGTTCAGGAGGCAACAAAGGATCCTGTTAACCTTCATCCAGTCACACTAGAGTTCATGATAGCTTCTCCTTCTTGGCTTCAGATGAACCTTTTCTAGGTCAGGGTGAGAGGCGAGAAAGAGCAGAAGGTGCTGCCCTCACCCGTCCTTTTTGCCTTGTCTGTGTCACATTCTTGTCTATTGGAGCACCCATGCTTGTTGAAGCTCCTTCTAGGTGATATTTAAACTGCAAAGAGGTTAAAAAAAAAAAGTCTAACCTTATGTTTTACCCCCATCCTTGTACTTCCCACCAAGTTCAGGATGACCAGCTGAAAAAGTGGCTTCAGAGTTCAAAGGGGGTTCATTGGGTCAGCTCAGTGCTATGTTTTGTTTTGGATGTTGTTTACCTATGGGGGTCTCTGCAAAGGAAATGAATTTCTAACCACAGCAGAGAAGCTAGAGTGGCCTGTGAGTCTTTGGGTACAGTGACAGCCAGCTGTTACTTGATTTTGCAACACCCTCTGCCCACATTTTCCCCCCATTTGACAGATTTTATTGAGTGCCAGGGACTTTTCCTTGTTTTTTGTTTGTTTTTTCCTTTCTTCATTTTTTTAAGCTCCTTTTTTGGGGAGTGAAATACAGTACACTGAAGAGTTCATAAAACACATTTACAGCTTAACAAAATATTTTAAAAACACCCATGTAACTAACCATGACCTCCAAGTTATGAACATAGTATCACCTAGAACCTTTACTGCTTTGCCTTTAATGCTTAGATCTATAGTCCACCTGGAGTTTATTTTTGTACACAGGGTGAGGGAGGGTCAGGTTTAATTATTTCCTTATGGGTATGCAGTAATTCCAGCACCACTTTCTGAAAAGACTTTGGCCCACTGCTCTGCAATGCTGATATTTTTTTTCATCAATATTATAAATTTGATGTAAAAGGGAGCTCTGGTAGTGTAATGCCTAAGGCACTTGACTGCTAACCAGAAGGCTGGTGGTTCAAACCCACCAGCCACTTCTTGGAAGGAAGGTTGGGCAATCTACTTCCATAGTGATACTGCCTTGGAAACCCAAGGAGGGGTTGCTATGAGTCAGGTCTGACTCGACTGCACATAACAACAACAACATACACACACACTGTCCTAGCCCTACTTCCTGGAGACAACAGTTTTGGACGTAGCCATTTGTAATTGATTTTCTGTGCATAAAAACACATGTAAATATATGTATAATTTGTCTACAAAAATGCTATCCAGTCGTCACACTGACAGTGACTCCCTGCACATAACCTATTTGGCCAATGTTCCATACTGATCTACCTTCACCTCTTCAAGAGTTGCCTACTGTTACTGATTGAATTATTTCCCCAAAAAATATATATATATTGGAATCCTAATGCCTATACCTATGAATGTAATCCCATTTGAGTGTAAGGGTTTCTTTGTTATATTAATGAGGCTATTATCAGTATAGTGTTTCTTAAACCTAATGATTCTTGAGAGAAAAAGAGCAGAACAGACCCAAAGAAGAAGCAAGCACAAAGAATGTAAAAGTAGATGCCATGTGGAGACTGGCAAGAAACCGAGTTAGGATGGGCCAGAGAAGGTAAAACAAGTATTCACCCCTAAAGTGGACAGAAAGGATGTTTCTCTAGAGCCAGTGCCCTGAATATGGACTCCCAGGAGCACTGGTGGGAGCTCTGGTGGCATAGTGCCTAAGGCACTTGACTGCTAACCAGAAGGCTGGCGGTCCAAAGCTACTAGCCACTCCTTGGAAGGAAGGTTGGGCAATCTACTTCCATAGTGATGTTGTTGTTATGTGCCGTCGAGTCGGCCCCGACTC